GGCGTCCCCAGGCTAAACATACCTTTTTTTTTTTTTTTATTGCCAGGTAGTGTACATCACTGCCACATTCCCATTCGTCATGCTCCTTGTTCTGCTCATCCGTGGTGTGACCCTGCCTGGAGCTGCAGAAGGCATCAAGTTTTACCTTTATCCTGATATCTCACGGTTAGCTGACCCACAGGTACAGAACCAGGGGTGGGGAGCGGGACAATTTCCTATGCAAAGGGGGATGGTGGAGGGTGATGGTGGTGATGTAATGGCAATAGATTTTTTTTCCATGGTTTTTAGAGGTCCAAATATAGCATGAACATTAATGCTGGGTTATATTTTCCAGAGATCTGCTTGAGAAGGTCACTGTTATATGTGTTAATGCATCTTTCCATGTGTATGTATGTGTGTGTATGCGTGTGTATTTTTTTTGTGTCAAAGGACTCTGAGGCTGTAGACTCTGTCCCGTTATACAATCTCAGCTTTCTTGTTGGTAAGGTAAGGGAGATGCATTTTTTTTAATGAGGATAGTCTTTAGTTTCAAAGGAGAGACACGTGAGCTTCAGAGATGGAACAACAAGCGACAACTGTGAGTACCAGTGTCACTAAGCTCCCACTGCTCAATAGGAGGAGATTGGGAAAGAGGTGAATGAAATAATAGAAGAATGAAAACCCATGCAAAGGTGGAGAAAAATGCCTTCTGAGGCACAGGAACTACCGTTCGCTAAGCCCTGGCTAGTAGAGCTAGGCTTACTCGTTCTGTATAGGCTGTGATTAGATAAAGATTCCTGTCTGTGCTGACAGAGTGCAAATATGTGACACTTGAGCAGACCAGCATCGTTTCAGCCAACAGTGATCATGTGAGAAATGCAAAAAAAAAGCAATACCCCCCCAAAAAAAGAAAACAAGTGATCTTTGAAAGTAACAAAATGGTCACAGTGAGAGGGAATAACGTCTGCCTTTGCTATTTCTTTCTAATGAGTATTTGGTTAAAATAAAACTCCAATGATAGGTAAATAACCGAAGTAGAAAAAGCGTAATTGAAAGAAACGTTGTGGAAATTTGGTTCATTCTCTAGTCTTGCCCTCTTTATACAAGACAGCCTCTTCACAGGAGACATTATATTTTATGAATGAATCTTCTTTTATGGGACTCTTATCATTTTTATGATCTACTATTAGCCCTAAGCCCAGAGCATCAGCCAATAACGTAGAAGAGATTCATGTGAGCTGGCAGGCCCCCTCCCATGGTCTAGCAAAAGCAGCATCTCCAAGAAGACACCAGTCAGCAAGGTGTTGGAAAGCGATGGTGGGAGGGAGGAGGTAATGGTCTACAGTCATAGTTCTCACTTACTCAGACTCCTTGGTGGTTTCTACTGGCGTTACCAGACTTGCATTAGCAGAAAGAAGTGAACAGATGGGATTCAATGGACGCATTTTGATAGCTTGCCACATATTTATTAACTGGGAAGTTGATGGTGTACTGTTATTTCACTCTGTATATGTTTTTTTAATGTAATCAGGAGAAAGAATCATGAGACCGAGATCAGATACATATCTTATAAAGTGCATTGTATTTTGCTTGTTTTCCCCCCACCCCTATGGCTTTTTATCTTGCATTTGAACAGGTACAAAACCAACCGGGAAGCTAGAAAAATAAACAAACCAAATACACAAACCTGTTTCTCAAGCTTTTCACATCCTCAGTTTAGTGACTCTGTCAGCTGATTCTAACTGAAATGAGTTACAACAGAAATGAGCAGTGTTATAAATACTTCTGCATTTCCTATTGCGCTGAAACACATTTATTGTTGCGCCAACAGGAAGGATCAGCTGAATGACTAAGAAACTAGAACTACTGAGCATCTCTGGGGAGGGGATACAGGAACTGTTAAAGAGATGATGTTCTTGTAGGCTCTGACGCTAACGATTTTCTTTTCCCTGTAAAAGCCAAACTTGCAAATGTGATGTTCACTTTCCCTCCCTCCCTGATCCTTTAGCTATCACTCTCAATGGAAGCAATTCTTTTGTTGATTTTGCATAGTTTGAACTGTGTGTTTGCATTGAGTGTTGCAGTGCAATGATGCCAGTAATAACAATCTTTCCGTCTTTCCCTTTAGGTCTGGATAGATGCAGGGACACAAATCTTCTTCTCATATGCAATCTGCTTAGGAGCAATGACTTCCCTGGGGAGCTACAACAAGTACAAATACAACTGCTATAGGCAAGTTTCCATCCAAGGGGGTTTAGTGTTTTAGCTAAATGATGTAAATAAAGTAGGGACAATGGGTTAATTTTTTTTTAATTAACTTGCTCCATGACATATGTGTGACTTAGGGACTGTTTGCTGCTGGGATGCCTGAACAGTGGTACCAGTTTTGTGTCTGGCTTCGCAATTTTTTCCGTCCTGGGCTTCATGGCACAAGAGCAAGGGGTGAACATTGCTGATGTGGCAGAGTCAGGTACGATGGTATTGGTGGCAGTGGTGGTGGGCACTGCCGCCTAGCGTGTGAGCAAAGTTCTGCAGACTCAATCAGCTAACATCTAAGCAATAAAAACAGAACAAGATTTCCCATAATCTCCAGAAAAATAAGCACATTGTTGATTTGGGCTTTCATCTAGAGCAGTGAGGGTTAGCCGGGGTTGTATTGTTTACTCTGTCTTGATTAACAGGGCAGCGAACACATTTCCTAGAGTATGCTAATCCATTTGAGTTGAGATTAGAGTTAAGATAACTGCACCATTATCCAGGGTCCAGAATGTCATTGATTCAAGAATTTATTCCATCCTTCTTTTCAGACTACCTTTATTTTCATTCAAATGCAAATAGCCAGTGTTTATGTATTTTTCATAGCTTAGCTTTGCTTGCTCACAGCGGAGCGCTGCAGTGGGAATATTACCTTGGCCTTTTGAAGGGACATACATGCATATATTCCCAAGTCTCACTGAAAGGCAAGAGAAGTTGGAGAACTCCATCTCCTGGGTGCTGTGCGCCATTTCATCCACAGGAACTCTAGTTGTTGCAGTCCTGCATTTGTCCTCTGTAGCTTCAGGGTGAGGTTGACAGAACTGTGAGAAGTCCATTTTGAAACTGGATGTACACTTAGGTTCCCCCCTTATTTCAGAACTGTTCTTCCCATTAACATTCAGCTACACACTTGCAGCTGAAGAAAGCTAAATCCTCATAGCATGTGAATGTATCTCAGACAAAACAGATGACATTTTTTCCTCTCTGCATGTCTTGTCCATGAGCACAGATGTAACCATGTGTTTTCACGTAGAACAGACAGATTAGATGGGAATTACCATCCAAAAATAATGAGTTGGGCCTCGACAGCCATGAGGCTTAAAGCTAATCAGATTCAGGTAATAACAATGTCACCTGAGTGCACTTTTGGCATTTCTTTCTGATTTTTTTGAGCAATTTTAATTCACCTGCATAGTATTTGAAGCTTTCCTCTGCAAAAATGCTATTAAAAAGTCAATATGTCTTCTAATCACATAGCTCTGGGAGTTAAGTCTTTAAGAAAAGTATCTCACTTCACAAGGGCTAATGAAAAACTGATGACATTGGTGGCACCGCTGGATTCTTGGGTGGCTGCAATTGGCATAACTCTCGCAAGTGCAACTAGTTAACGGTCTTGGCCATAGTGCTTATTTTGATCGGAGGTTGATTGCTTTGTTTGAAAACAGGAAGCAAGGGAATAATCCTATTGAATGAATCATAAATAGCCTCATTTTTTTTAACATGTAGGTGGATCAATTCCAAGAGTAGCATTTTTAAGTATTTCCACATTAGGTTTTTATCTGGTCAACATTTATTCTAATTTTTGTTATTAAATCTCTGATAAACAGGCAGTTATATTCCTGTTGCTTGACATTTTTAGAATTAAACAATTTTATAGTAACACTGGATTGTTAAGTAATGTTTAAATACAAACTAAGAGACTTAGTGTTTACATAGCATTTTTTCATCAACAGCTCAAAAAGCATTTTTTTAAAGGAGGGATTTTATCACTTATTATAGGGACAACGAGGGCACTGATTAGCTTCCGAACTTGGTTTTCGGTTTCTTGCATATTTTGTTGTTGATTCCTTCAGGTTTTCTACTTTACTTAAATTCAGCCCTAGTCACTAACGGCCAGAGATTGCAACTGTCTCACTGTTCAGTGGGTTGCCCATCATCACTGGCTGGTGTTCGGCTAAATCCTAAGGGACATTTTTACATGACAGTAAACATTACCAAAATTATCCAAAATTATCCAAACCACTTCCCATGGGTTTTCTCGCTGCCTTTCTCGGAAGAAATCAAGCGCAAGAGCACTGGAGACCGCTTGGTCCCCCTGGGATGAGCGTCCCAGGATCCGCGCGGGGCCATGGGGGAGGCTCTCGCTGCCGCTGCTGCCCTGCTGCTGACTTCTCAGCACAGAGACATTCAGCAGGCGCTTGAGCCTCTTTTTTCGGCCTTGCCTTTTTTGGTTCCTTGTGATGCAAGGTCAGAACCGCTCCTTTGGGTCAGGAAAAGGTGAGCAGAGGCACTGCCGCTTGGCTGTAGCACCAGGGAGAGGACGTTGTCCACGGGGCCAAGACCTCCTGCTCCCCCCCATCTCTGCCCAGTGAGTTAAATCCCTCCTGTCCTATGCGTGACACCATTTGTTTCCTTGTTTGCCCTCCTGCAAGCCAGGGGAACAAATTTGTTGACAGCAGAATCTCATGGCCACATTTTTCACCTGTGCCAAATTCAGCCTTGGTGCAGTGTTCCTGGGACACCCTCGTCAGCGAGGGGTGGCTCCCACTGAAAGCACTGGTCGCTGCTGCCAGCCTTCACTGGCTTAGACTTACACGGCAGTTACATTAGACCCTTTTGACTTCCCGGTGAAAGGAGACTTCTAATAAATAGCACTTGATTTTATTCAGAAATCCTTTTAAAGGGAGAGAGGAAAGCAGTGGGGGCTCAACAAAGCCATAGCGAGTCCTGTCTAATCTGTCCTGCGTCTCTGGCTGGAACAAATACATTACCGCCCGTGCAATTTGTAGCAGTGTTAAAACAACACAAAATCTGCCTTTTTTTTAAATCCAATTGCAAACAAATTCAGATTAAGCAGGCCTGACTATAGTGCCTTGGCCTTCCTAATGCCTGCCTGGTCTCTGCCTCCGCATTGCTCTGCTCCCGGGGCGCGTCCCCAGCCGTGCCGCAGCACTTCGCCGGCAAACGGCCAGTGAGTGGGCTGGGATTGTGGCAGTCCTAATTAGCTCTTAATTGCAGCCACAAGTGCTTCACTTTTTCAAAACACCCTTCAGAGCAACACAGTTTCAAATTAAATATGATTTTAGATTATTTATGTTCAGTCGAGGGGATGCCAGGAACATTTTCTTTCACATGGACTTTTCTCTTTATATTTCAACACTTAGTTTCAAAGGAAAATCAAAGCTAGCACAGGGCTTAGGGCACTTGGTATTAGACTGTATCACAGTGCAAGGACAGTTTCACTGGCCAAAGCATACAGAATTGCAGCAAGTTTTGAGGAGAGCAGTTTTACATCTGTCTCATCAATTGCACAGATCAGCTACAAATGCCATCTGGTTGCGGTTCTCCATCAGGGAGGATCTACTATATTTGCTGAATTAGGGGGAAAAAAGCAAAGCCCTCCCAAACATGAGACATTCACCAATTTTTTGGTATCTTCTGTCATATAAAATTTAGTTGTGTTTCATTTTAAATAAAATTAGTTGCTCGATTGTTGGCTAATTTGTATTTATTTCTGTTCAAATATTTTCAGTGACTTAAAGTTTTCTTTAGTTTGAAAAAAAGTCATCTTTTTTTTTCCTCTTTCTCTTGCTTCTTTTTCCATCTTTCTTGTTGGAAAGGAAAAGTGGGAGGTAGGAAGAGCAGTGTTAGAGATTTTTCTGTACAGATCAGAGATAAGATTTCTGTCCCTGCACTGCAGCAGTTTAAAAAAATTCCTCTTCCTATGGAAAATTACTTGAATCCACTTCAAAATCCTGGAAAATGCTGGTTTTTGAGGCTCCTTAAAACAAACAAGTAGATGAGCCAGGCATTCCCAGGTTTAATCTGAATTTAAATCTGCCCTCAGAATTTTTTGTTGGCTTCACAAAATTTCTACGGCCATTTTGAGAGCCTGCCATAAATGCCAGATTGCCAGTGCTTCCTATGGAAAATTACTTGAATCCACTTCAAAATCCTGGAAAATGCTGGTTTTTGAGGCTCCTTAAAACAAACAAGTAGATGAGCCAGGCATTCCCAGGTTTAATCTGAATTTAAATCTGCCCTCAGAATTTTTTGTTGGCTTCACAAAATTTCTACGGCCATTTTGAGAGCCTGCCATAAATGCCAGATTGCCAGTGGTCT